TAGTGTAGTGTAGTAGTAGTAGAGTAGAGAGAGAGAGAGAGAGAGAGACGTACGAGTAGTACGTAGTACGTATACGTAGACGTAGACGTAGAGAGAGAAGAAGAGAAGAAGAGAGAGAGAGAGAGAGAGAGAGAGAGAGAGAGAGAGAGAGAGAGAGAGGTCATTTAAGCCTAGATTTAATATGGGTTAGGGCGAGACAGAATGGTTCTGAAGGCTTGAATTAAATGGTTCTTAACAAATATTCAGTCTGAGGGTTTTAATTATTGCCGCTTCTTAAACATTTATTGAAATGTCTTGGTACTGCTCGAGAGAGAGAGAGAAAGGGTCAGTAATTATTCAAGGGAAATTTACTTGGGGGTCGGTAATTATTTAAGGGAAATTTACTTCGGGGTCAGTAATTATTTAAGGGAAATTTACTTCTGTACTCTTATTTTTTACCGCTATTACAGTTAAGTTAAAAAATATGCAGTATTTATGTGGAGGTTCTCGCTTATACCATTGTTTCTTTTTTTCTAAATTTTCCCCTGGTCCAAAGTTTTAAATATAGGATTGCATATTAAATTTTTTGTTTTAATTTTTTGATATTAATATGTTGGTTCGATGTTAAAACCTTCGAACCGTGACCACCCTACACTTTTTAGTTGATTCGTTGTTCGAAACATCGGACCATCTTAAACCTTAAAAAAGGTGAGGTTTAAGGGCGGTTCAATGTTTCCAATATCATACTATATTAATTGGTGATGTCTTAATTAGCGCATGTTAAGAGAGTCATGTTATGAGCACTAATATATGTACATTCTTAATTGGCCTTAATTGGTACATGTTACGGGAATCATGTTACTACTACTAATCCATGTACATCAATGAGACCCATACCATGTTACTGACAAGGCCATATCATGTTACAAATACGGATTGTGTTTAGACCTCATTTTTTAAAGGTTTAAGGCGATTTAATGTTTCGGACATCGGACCAAATAAAAGTGTAAGCCAGTCCAATTTTTAGAACATCGGACCGTCCCTATAAAATTGCTTTCGATGTTTTTGACATAGAACTGACCTATAAATATTATAAAGTACAAAAAATAAATTTAATATGTTGTCCCATATTTAAAACATTGGGCCGGGTACAAACTTGAGAAAAAAAATTGAAAAATTGGGGGAACAATGACGTCTGCATAAATATCGCATACTTTTGGACCATCACGTAATAACGGTCACATAAAACTGTAAGGATGTAATTTTCCCTTGGATCAATGACAGTTGGAGCTGATAGGTGATCTTGTAGTTGGCTTCATGGGCGGGGTGGGATTGGGCCTTGGTTGTTGGTGATGGAGGCATTGGTCACCAGGGCAAGAGCCAGTTATAGCACAAGAGTCTGGAGTTCTCAGATTCTATTGGTGGTTCTCTTTATCTCCCTATAAAACTAGAAAAGAGTAAAAGAAAACGAAAAGGAAAAAAAATGGATATGGGTTTAAGAGATGGATTTGTGAGAGAAGGTAGAGATAGATACTAAATCAAGAGAGGCAGTAGTGAAAAGTTGTAAAAGAGAGAGAGTTGTATTCATTTCTATCGCTAACGTCTTCAATTAACACCTTCAAAATATAACTCTCGCAATCTATTGAAAAAACGGGTAGGGTCCAATTAACACCTTCAAAATTTAACTATCTCAATCTATTGAAAAAACGAGTAAATGTCTGTCTTCTCCACTAAATTACCAAAAAAAAAAAAAAAATCAGTATTTTTTAAATTTGTTGTGCATGTATGAAAGACATATGTTTAAAACAGCATGGTGTAATTAAGTGTCCCAAATTTAAATTTCTCTCTCTTCCCCTCCAAGAATTCTAATATCTCTCTTATGATTTAGCCCTTGAATCCAGGCATAACACTTGCACCTCAATATATTTACATAGCCGTTATTAATCTTTAATTAGTATAGATTTTTGGGTAAATATTAATTGGACTTAGATGTATGCATTGACCATTATCAAAATTTCAAATGAGTGGTTGAAGATATGATAAAAAATCGTCATACGCATCTCCTAAGACATCTACCGTCCATTCAATTTTGAATGCTAAAGATTAAATTGGAACTTATGATCAGATTGTATGTACTATATCTGATATCCAAGGTCCAAAATCGTTTGGAGAATGGCCCACTTAGCTGGAGCATTACTTTTATTTCGAAACTTATGTCAAACTTTGGTTGTTCTTTTGAAAATGAGAGATAATATGATGATTTTTCAATAAACTTTCTCATGGGATTTAAATAACAAATGAAAGTTTTATCAAGGAAGGAAAAGGAGATATCCTAAATTATGTTAACCTGGTCAGAATTAAAATGTGCATCATCTTGATGTTCTACTTAACTTCCATAAATATTTGGGCTTTTTAAGAAAAAAGCCTTGTAGATATTAGTTTTAGAGCAAATTATGTACGAACACTTTCAGAGGAGTCATCATTTGGTGATATTGTTTCCATATATGACGTGCACCCCCTCCCTGTACATAATTTACTCTTGTTTTTAAGATATTGCCTTTTTTGAAATTTATTTCTGATTTAGGCTCTCTGACCTTTTGTAGAAAGACAAATTGACTGTTTTGCCCTTTTGCTAGAGATAGAATCATATGATCACTTTTTCTCTTCTACATTTTTTGTACAATAGTTTCTACCTCTCTCTTATCTCTCTCTATCTAAAGGGAAATGTTTCGATGTTTCCCTTATAATATAGAAGTTTTATCCTCCCTCTACCATCCAGTCGTCCAATTTTGATCAAGAGAGTCACTCACTGTTTGATTTTAGATCCGACCTCTCAAAGTATTTTATTTTTTAATTTTTTTTATACAAAATTGTTCTCATTGGGGCACACCTATAAAAAATATTTAAAATAATTTTTCTATAAAATATAATGACCAAAATAACTCTAGAATATTTCAGGGGTATGTTGTCATTTTATTTTAGCGGAAATATTTTTTTTTATATTTTTCGCCAGTGCAAGTTTAATAGAGGAATGGGCGTCCAAAATTTGGTATCAAAATAGTTTATAGAAAAAAATTAAAAATAAAATAGTGCATAGATGTACAATTGTGATTGGGGCAATCTTAGCCCTCCATTCAGAATGGACGGTTAGATAAGAGGAAGGATAGAACTTCTATGCTAAGGAAAAAGCATAGAAAACTTGCCCTATCTAAAAACCCTCTTTAAACTTTCATCTCTCTTGCATTCTCTCTCTAAAAAATGCAATTTCCTATTCGTTCTTTTAGATTCTCTCTCTAAACACCTAATCCATTTTTTCTCTACTTTCACATTCTCTCTCTAGGACCCAACCTTTTCCTTTCATACCGCATATTGTTTTTGAAACTAAATTCAAATAATAAAAAGAGGAAAATTAAAAGAAAAGACGAATCGAAGAAGAGAGAGAAATCACATTCTTAAGGTCTCAAAAAGTATATGATATAATTTTTTCCTTCGTTGATTTCTCTCTCTTCTTCTATAATTTCAGTTTTAGAGAGAGAAAAATGAAAGGATGTATAAATAGGCAATATTTTTAAAGCAAGAATTAAAGAGAAGGGGAGATAGGCTGGTTTTTAAAGAGAGAATGTGAGGGACGAAAAGAGTAGGTTGGATTTTTAGATAGAAAATGAGAGATAATTTCAGTTTTAGAGAGAGAAAAATGAAAGGATGTATAAATAGGCAATATTTTTAAAGCAAGAATTAAAGAGAAGGGGAGATAGGCTGGTTTTTAAAGAGAGAATGTGAGGGACGAAAAGAGTAGGTTGGATTTTTAGATAGAAAATGAGAGATAAGGAAAGAATGTGCTTGAGTTTTTAAAGAGAAAATATGAGAGGAAGGGAGAAACCAAGGGAAAAAATATTATTAAAAAAATTAATAACAAAAGATTGGTTTCGAATTTTGTGGCCTTTGAAACAATTTCTTTTTTGACAATTATTACTTAATATTATTGATAATAACAAATGAAATACGTCAGAGATTTAAGACATCAATACAACAAGGGATCGTTCAGCACTACCAGGCTCAGCTAATCTATCTACTATCTCATTAGCTTCTTTATAAACATGTGTAAAAGAGATCCTTAGCACATTAAAAATATCCATGATCTGCCGCCATAATGATCTTAAAGTTCAAGGTAGAGCACATGCGAAATTGCACCAATTTATAACATTGAGTGGATCACCTTCTACTACACAATAACCACCGCCATGCCTCTCAAGTAATTTCAGTCCTCGTAATTTGAGACAAATTTTCCTTTAATTTTTCTTAAAACCTCTAACTTTTCTTTAATCTCCCCTTTATTTTAGTCACCTTGCTACTAGAAGAGTATGTAGGAGAGGGAATTTGGCAAAATGGGTATGTAAATTGGATCAGCTTTGATGTTTAGGACGGGTGCCTCGAACCTGTCGATTCGAGACACAGACTACTCGAGCTGCCCCGCCAGCAGAAGCGAGTGGCCCGGTGCTGGCCAGGTGAGATGAATTGGGGAAATTCATTCTTATTGGGGTCTATTAAATTCCCCATAAAAATCCAGATATCTTTCTTATTAGGGAAATTTATCAAAACGTCCACGAGAGATGAATTATTTGATAGTTCATCTGCATCATTTGATTTGATTCCAAAATAACACCAAAAGATGAGTTGGAATAATTGCAATTATGTAAAAATATTGAATGGTGCATTTCTTATATGTATTATGAAAATTTTCTCTTTTTATTATTCTAAAACTTCTATCAAGCTCTTGGACTCTTCCTTCATCTCTCTTCATGTTTACTTTCTCCTTGTTCTTCACCTCTTTTGTCACTTATAGGTATTATGGACCCGGTTTCTATGCGGCCAAGCCTGCATATGTAGAAATGCAGGTAGAGTAATAAATCTATTTTTTAGATAGATTTTTGGATTTAATTTTCAATGATATGTAATCTCTAATATAGAGATCATGAATAAGAAAAAATAAATAAATTTTAAAAATTAAAAATAATAAATTTAGTAAGAAAATATTTGGATCGTATTGGTTGTAGATGGAACACCTACTTGCATCCTTCTTTAAGAAGGATGTTTTACACTTTTTAGACCGCATATCTAATCATGCTGTCTAGCCCGCATGAACAATTTTCCTTCGTCTATTTTCAAGGCATTGTGGTTTGTTTCTCAGTGCATTTTACTTTCTCTAACATTAGTAGGGCATAATTTGTGTGTTCACTACATGAAGGTGGCAATTAGGGGCCATGCTCTAATGATTCTTTAAAGGGTGCTGTGGGTATGAGGCCGCAAGACTTAAACTGCAGTGCCAAATGGAGGCACTGACTTCCACCACAATACAGCCCACAAGAATCACAAAATTGTGTGACAATGAATCAAATAGAAAGGCTTATTAGACAATGAAACCTTGGTGATGAGAACTAATCATCATTTTGGGGAATATTGAAAATATTGAGGAATTGAGGAATCTGAGGCGACTCCTTCACTTTATATTAGATCGGTTAGGACTTAGGACCAGTGATGTCAGATTCGCTTCGCTTCGACTGAAGTCTTCGAATTTTAGGCCTAGGCTGAAGCAAAGTGAAACCTAGTGATGCCGTTTCGGTCAGCTTTGGTCAACTTCGGGTTCGGTCAGCTTTGGGCCGATTCGGCCAAATCAAAGAACTATCTTTAGAAAAGCATTTTTTTTTTATTTTTTAAAAAATATTTTAATTTTTTTGTTATTATTTGAATATATTTTTATACTTAAATATCTAATCTATTTATATTAAAAAAATAAAAAAGTCCAAAGTCTTCCTCCAAATTAGTCGACGTATTGGATGGCCTCAAAGAAGACTCCTAAGCCAATCTAAAAACATTTATTAGGACATGATGATATGACATGAATAACTTGAGATATTTTCTTGTGAGATCAACAACAATTAAGAACCACATAAGGGGTCGATATTACTTTTTCACTCTTATGTAAAGAAGTGACAAGTGAGAAAAGAAAAATATATCTTTGTAACATAATATCGTGCCTATACCGAAGAATGACTTGTCAAAGTAAAGAAAACCAACATATATATAAAAAAAGGGAAAAATTTATAGAGCCTAGTCTCTATTGATGCTCAAATATCCTCAAATTGATCATCTTGACATCAAGATGAATGGATTTGAGAAAAAAATGAATTTCAAGTTTTGAAAATAGTGTATTTGTAACACATTTTTGGACTGTCAATTTTTAAGTTATTCAAGTTTTTATAAATATGCTCGATCTACACTAGTTTTGGAGCTTTAAATTTTATAATTAAAGATGAAAATA